AGTAACATTAGTAAAGAAATTATGGATATGGTTTATGATTTCTTTGATAATAATGTTAGTTTAGAAGCTGTAAATGGCACTAATGCGGTGCTAATCCCAAAGTTGAAAAAGTTGAAAATGTGAGGCAATTTAGACCAATTGGTTTGTGTAACTTTGTGTATAAGATTGTGTTTAAAATTCTATCTAATAGGATGAAGAATGTGTTGACCAGAGTTATTTTTGAGAATCAAAGGGCTTTTGTGACTTGAAGACCAATCTAAGATAATATTTTAATTGCCCATGAAGGTTTTCATTATTTGAAAAATAGGAAAAAAATTAAGAAGTATGAGATGGCTGTAAAGATTGATATGAATAAAGCTTATGATAGGTTTAAGTGGGGTTTTATTGAAGTTGTGTTATTGAAAATGAGGTTTAGTAGGAAATGGGTACCTTAGATTATGAATTGTGTGAAGTCTATTAGCTTACATCGAGTGGTGGCTAGTAAGAAGATTGCTGATTTGAATATAGAGATAGGTATAAGACAAAGGGATCCTTTGTCCCCTTATTGTTTATTATTGCAATAGATGTGTTGTCGGTTATGATGTAATGGTATGTAAAGAAGGGGAAGCTATAAGGTATAAAATTGGCTAGTAAATATCCTGTGCTATCTCATTATTATTATTATTATTATTATTATTATTATTATTATTATTATTATTATTATTATTATTATTATTTGCAAATGATGCCCTTTTCTTTGTAAATGTAAAGAGGTAGAATTGTAAAATATTGAGGAATATTCTATGAGTATACTATAGGGCATCGGGATAAATTATCAATTTTGATAAGTCATGTGTATTCTTTTCTAAGAATTCTCCTGATCAAGAAAAGAAAGATTTTTTTAAGGAGTTAGATATTAAATTTAATGGTGAACTTGGGAAATATTTAGGAATGCCCATATTGTGGGGGCATTCAAAGGCGGGTGCTCTTAATTTTGTGATAGAATGGCTATAAAGTTTCAAGGTTGGAAGCAACTATTGTTAACGTTTGCAAGGAGGAAAATTTTTGTGAAGCCAATAGCCAATGCAATTCCAATTTTCCCCATATCTTGCTTTAGTTTTCCTAAAAAGGTGTGTAGTCAAGGTTTTCCTCATACCTCAAACCTTTAAGAGGTCAAAGGTTTACTCTTAATATTATAGCTTCCAAGCTTGAATTCCCAAGCATCAATGGTGCTTAAGAGCTAAATCTACAATTAACCAAGTTAGATTTCATTAATAATGTCAATCACACATAACTCTTAACTCACTTTCTATTTCTAAATTACCCAATGCCCACATTGCTTATATTTGGGCCTACTTATTAGGTTTATCAACTCTCTTTAGTCCTCACTAGCATTAATGAGCCATTAAATTCTCATTTATAGCATTATAACTCTTCCAACAACCTTGATCAATGTCATTTTTGTATAACAATGAGGCCCAAACACTAAAATCACAAAAACTCAATATATTTAGGTTTAGATACTATAATCTATTCCCATTAACTCCATTTGAGTCAATGGATTCGAACCCATATAACCTATATGGACCAAAAATCATTTTTCACTATCAAACCCAAACCATAAACCTTATAAACGTGGAAGAAAATGAGAGATTAATGAGTATGATACTTACTTTTGGTGTTTATAGCTTCCAAAACACTCTCAATGTTGTCTAAGAATAAACCCTAATAGAGTTTGGTTGCTTGTTCTCATTCTCTCCTTCTTTCTCTCTATTTGTCATCTCAATTTTATGACTTATTTCTGTAGAAAAGGGGTTATGCGTCGTGATGGCGCATGGCACAGAGAGGTCTCCTTCACACCTTAGTTGCATTTGTGTGCCATGGTGGATCTATATCACGTCATGGCATATGGCACAACAATACTTTATCTTTGTTTTCTTCTCCTTTCGATGCCCAACTAGCCCAACCGCATACTGAACCCATAATTAGGGCTAAAACGCAACCTAAAATCAGTTATTAAACCTCCCTAACCACACATCACACCAATTTTACTCAACTATCATAATTAAGTTTAGTTAATTCGAGGATACAAATTCAAGATGTTACACTGAAGGATCTCAAGATTTTAGCTTCTGGTTTGGCCGATAAAGCTAGCATTGGCTAATATTTGTTTGTTTTGCAGGTGTTGTTCTGGTTTGTCTTTTTGTTGTTTTTTCTTTGGATTTTTTTAGTTTGTATCCTAGGCTTATTTCTGTTTTGTTGATTTCTGTTTGTAGGTTGTATCCTAAATGTTTTTTCCTGATTTCCTTAGTCTATTAGTGAGTGTAATCTCTCTTTTTGTTATTAATAAAATGGCCTGTGTTTTGCTTAAAAAAAGGAATTATGACCAGCATAATATGAAAGCAAATAAATATAGGAGGTTATAGAATCAAATTTCACTATTAATATAAGAATCTTATTAGTAGACGATTTATAAGTACTTCTATAGATGTTTTTTAAGTTTAGAAGTATGCCTTGTCGATGATAAATTCTTGAAACCTAACTCATTTAAACTTTTGAATACCAAAAAAATAAATAAATAAAAGCTGAAATTCAATGATCATTTAAAAAAAAAACATCATCCAGGGGGCATTTGCTATTTGCCCCTTCTTTTTTTTTTTTCTAATTAAAGTAAATGAACTTGAAGGAAATGAGCTTATTTGCACTACAAGAGCTTATTTGCACTACAACATGCTGATGCAGTGCAATTGCAGATAAAATCAATTTAGCCCTGTGTACGAGTTAAAGTGATATCGAGTAGTTCTTATCGGATTCGTTTTTCCCACAAATCCATGTAGTCACTCAAATAAGGGGACATTTCAACTCATCTGACCCAACTTATTTCACCCTGAAAACTGTCAGGCGATCAACCAGTCTGGCGGAACAACAGTGTCCTCGAACATTATACCCAAAAAAAAAAAAAAGTGTGTCCCCGGACACATTTCAAACAGTAATTTTACCCTATGGTATCTTTATCTTTATCTTGGAATTTGATTCCCGAAAGTTGATCATTATTTTTATTTGCAGTACAAGTTTGTCCGCATCGGCCAAAGATGGATGGCAATTTTGAGATTTGGATCTTCCCCTTCATTGACAAGAGATGGACACAAAAACTCTCTTTTTAGTCACATTCACTCCAGCGATGAAGTGCACTCCCACAAATCCAAATAATAATAATAATAATAATAAAGTATATACGTAAAAGGACAGAAAATGCCAGCTGTCAAATTTAAAAGAAGGAAGGCCAAAGGTGATGATGCTAATTACACCCACGTTGGGACAGAGCTCCCCCAACCCCACCACCACCACGGCCCCACCTATCTCATCCACTTGTCTCTTTTTTTTTTTTTTCTCATTTTCTTGTTACTCAAAGCTGAATCCATGGGTCAAGCCAATTAAAGTCACCAATCCCATCCTATTTCCCCACAAAAAAACAAAAGAAAAAAACGTATCTAAAATTTTTTGTATCTTGCGGGCCACGGTGCCAGTACCACCAACCCTCCCTTCTCTGTGTCTGGCTCCATCGAGAAAACGTGTCAAACAGCAAAACTTCTTTCCCACCTCAACTTGTGGTCCCACACCAAGGCGCCGCGCACCGCCGCCTCTCCTCCTCCCTTTCCATCCCCACTCGCCGGAACACCACCGAGCACTCCGGCAGCTCCCCCAGGTCAGCGAACAGAAGCTCGTCCTCCTCCCTCATCGGCAAGAACATTGACGCCACGTCCGCGTCATCCCCCGTCAGGATTGCACTTTCCAGGACCGCCGACGACGTCGTTGCCGTCCTCTGCATTTCGCCGAACCACCCCAACTCGTCCGGCGTGCTCATCAATGACCCGTCCCCGAGGTCCCCGAACTTCTCCTCGGACTCCTGTTCCTGCTCGGCCGGGGCCTCGATGGGTTCGGCTGGGGCGACGGCTTTGCTGGAGGCGGATTTGTTGTGGTGATGATTTCGAGAAGCCGGCCAAGGGTGATTGTGCTCGCAAGAGTAGGTCACGACGATCATGCTGGGGTCCACGCGGCTCCTTTCCACTTGTTTTCTTGCCGGGCATCCTTTGGAACTGCTGCATCGATAGTATCCTCTGCCCAATCACAAAGGCATGACAATTTGATTTACTTTTTCCTTGTCATCTTCTCATTAGCCGTTCATAAGCTTAAAGTTAAAACCTCCATGAAAACCTAATGAACCCTATTGCTTTCGGCCGCACTAGATTCTATCAGAATTAAGAAAATACAGCACACAATTCGTTATTCTGCACACTAAAAGTGAGACGGATTTGGAAGTCCCAAAGTTTCCATGTCAATCTTGCTTATCAAGTTCTGGAAAATTGGTCGGAGATGTGATTAAGGAGTGGAAAATGTACCTGGGGTAAGGCGAACCTTTGATGGGTTTTTGGCCGTACTTTCTCCAAGCCCAGGAATCGGACGGCGGAGTATTGCTCTCCCCTTTAAGCCGAGATCCTTCTACTTCCTTGATCGGAATTTGCACCACCCTCTTCTGTATGGCTCGCCTGCTAAAACCATATCCCATTAACTTTTAATGCCATATCTTCAAATATACATCTCTCTCAATTCGCTTACAACTAGGTATTCTCAACTCCCAAGAGCAACTGAAAAACATGGTGGCTTATATATCCTCTTAGAATAAACTTTCTCTGAAGTTTCAAGTTTTCAGAAAGTGGAATTCAATGGAGAATACAGAAGGATCAATTATCCGTCCAGTGTACAAGTGGCTGTAGAGTGTAACGAGACTAACCTTCTTTTCGGGGAAGACGTAGAAGGGACGAGGGTATTGATATTAAAGACCGCGGAAGGAGGTGACTCTGCAACATTTTCTTGAGCTATATCTGTATCATCTTGCTCACTGATATTTAGGCTGCGGCTGTTGAACCTACTGTCCATATCTTGGAACAATTCTTCAAACTGGATGAGTTAATTAATCTTGACTCTTCGATCCCACTACAAAGCACTATGATATGATACGATGAAGATGGTGATTGTGGCTAGCTAGAGCATGGAAAAGAGGTTAGCACAGTGAAGAAGAAGAGGAGGAGGAGGTAAGAGAAATAGGGAATGCCCTTTAAAACAGGGGCTTTCACGTTGGACAGCTTGGCTCGGTAAGCTCTCTGGCCTTTGTTTATTAGAGGACGTGCGTGCAAATACCTCATCCTGTGGAAGTCTCGCAAATTTATAGGCATTAAATATAGATATGAATGTGTCAGTGGAAAGCAACGTTGAGGTTGCTTAAGCTGTTAAAATATTTGGAAATTTCCATGAGGATAAGCCCGTTTGAATATTTTAATTGGTCTAACACTCTCTTTTGTCATATCTGGGGGGTGTTCTACCAATCAGAATTTACCCAACTTGGTCATCCATGTACATGTCTCTTTGCTTTTGAACTCATTCTTTTATCTGCCTATTAATGAAAATGGTGCGTCTAGAAGGCTTGAAACTTTCCCGGCCCATCATGTCATGAACGTAGTTGTCATCACTTTGTGGGGCTGGAGTTACCTTTTTGCCCTGAATTATTGATGCTGTGTACCATTAATTGGGTTTGACAATTCTGATTAAGAAATTCATCATTTCCTTGTTCATTTGTGTTGTGCCAGGGAAACCTCTAAGCAAAGCAACTGTAGAAACAAGGGGCACTAGAAAGACATATCTGCCCTTTGCTTTGTCTTGCATTACTTCTCTCTCGGCTGCTAAACCCTGAAGAAGATATGATATTAAAAAAAAATAGGTGGAATAAATTTTAAAAATAACATATCTATATATATATATATATATAAACCCAATGCACTGCATATTCTCTATTTAAATTAATGATGTGGATTTATTTCAGAAAAGTAGTCGGTGCATGGAGTCCAAGCTCAATTTTGCCTGCAAAGAAGAATTAAAAAAAGGAGAAGAAAAAAAGATGAGGAAGATAAGGTTCCACTCCTTCTTCAATGAAGAAGGTATTATTCATTTGAATTCATTCACATTCTCAATAATTTCATTTGGCACAAAAATTTATCTATTTAGTTAACAGTATTCTAACTTGATATTATCAGCTTGACCGTCGCCATTTCCCATCCAGAATTCTATAGCTAATTCCCGAAACTCACTTGCATATCGGGTTTCCTTCTTTCTGATACTCGCCGTCAGAATAATTACCTGCTTTAATGTAACAAATAATGTTTTACTTAGATGATTTCTATTTTTCTGCGTCTATATGGCTCCTATTTTTGTTCCTGACTATTGCTTATTTAACCAATTTTCTCAATATTATTTCATTGTTCATATTACCTCTTCATATATATATATATATATATATATTTGTTTATATTTGCTGGTTACACCTTTTTTGACCGGCCACTTCAATTCAATAACATTCAATTATATGGTAAATATATATGACCTAATTTAATAGCTATAACAATCACTCACACACACACACACAAACAAATTGTGAATGCTTGTCTACATGTTAAATTTTTATTTTTATTTTAGTTTTTTAAGAAATCAATTTTCAAGAGCACCCCATGCAATGTATATATGGTATTCTCTGGGTATTTATCACTGCTCAAATCAAACCTCAAACAATTTAACGTCAAAAGGCTATTAAAAATGATCAAGATAAAATTGAAGTAGCTTTACCGCATAAAATAAGAATATACTCAGAGTCTCAAACAAAGAGCATGCATGGAAGGGAAAAAACAATTTACTCAGAAATGTGAGGGATTCTAAACTTTTTTGGTATAATATTTCCTTTTAATATTTCAAAACAATGCAATTTGGCCCTATATATTGTTAACAAAATTTTTAATTTTAACAATTAATTGATTAAAAAATTACAAAAAATCAAGAATTGGTATTTTCTGTAATATTTTGGGTTATTGTCTGTAATTTGTGGATCCTTTTATGTAATTTTTATTTTTTTATAATTTTTTGGTCAATTAAAAGTTAAAATTAAATTTTATTAATGATAGAAGGTAATATTGTACTGTTTTGAAAAATTAAAAGAGATTGGTCTATTTCTAAGGACATCATTCAAAATGCTTGCAATCTCATTCATAGAAATTAGTCTATTTCTCTATTAATTTTGTTTCTAAGGACATCATTAGTCATACTCATTTTTTTGCTAGTGAAACTCATTTTATGGAGAATTCATTTTCTTTCTTTGATCATCCCCCACCTAATATTACTTTAGGAGGCGTATGATGATTGAGTCGACTCTCTTTAGTCTTGTATTTGCTTTGTTGTACTGTCCTATTTGCTGATTGTTTATGAAATTCAGTTTCCATTCAAAAAAAAAAAATAAAAGAGAACATTATACTAAAAATTAATTTAAGGTTTCAAACACTCCTAAACTGTTGAACCTATAATTTAAGGGTGAAATTGTTCTTTAACTCTTAAATGAATAATATGTTTATTTTTTTACCAACAATAATATGTTTATTTTAATATCATAATTGCAAATATTACATCATTAAACTAAATGAATAGTTAAATAAACAGATAAGATTGGTATGAAAAGAGGTATTAAGCGATAGTTATTTCTATATATATATATATTAATGTCTATTCCAGTTTTAGTCAAGTTTTGTTTTGAGAGATAATAGAAATGGAGACCCCTCTCTCCCCTCCATGCCCAATCAAGTGCCCCGCGTATGTTTCTTCATTTTTGGAGGCAGCGCCATTTATATTCGGTAGTTACATATAATTGCCCTAAAAAAGAATATTCTGACATAAGGTTCGCCCTATTACGTGCTTGACTAATTATATCATATAAGATTTAATTAAACAAAACCAAAAATAAAAAATAAGACTTACTGCGCGATGCAACGGTCACCACCTCAAGATGATTAATTTATAAATAATTATAATTGATATACATATTTAAATAATATTATGGTCTCATCTATTTCAGATCTAAATTCTGGAGATCCAAAATTTTATATTGTGTAAATTTGTCATGATGCTTGTCTTCGACTTGGAGATTCAAATCCCATTTGTTTTTTTTTTTTTTCTTTGACCGAGTCACTCGTTTCCATGTATTGGTGTTCCTCTTGAACGACATCGTATTCCCTCTCTAGTCAAATATCAAAGGGAGATGGGTTAATCTTGAGTGTGAAAGCCTGAATAAGAAAAATATTTTTGTGTAAATTTTCAAAGAAATCAAGTTTTCGAAGTTGCGGATTAATACTTAATTGGTTTAATCAGATCCAGAGTTAGGTCAAAATAATCATTGATTAAGAAACTAGTTTTCCCACCAGGGTTTCCAAAGGCGTGAAGCAACGTAACAGCTATATATTTATGTATTCTTTATTTTTTTTAGAACTCTTTAATTCATATAGGTTTAAATATAAATAACTCTTCCAGTGTAATTTTTTTTTGCCTCCGCTAGACTTAAACAAGTACACCGATAATTTTATTTAAAAAAAACATTAAGTCCCTTTATTATTTTGTGTTTGATTATATGCCGCCAGCAGATTTTATATTCTCAAATTGCAGAATCCCTTTGCTTACGGCATTTTTGGTGCTACTTATTCTCCCACTTTAATTATTGCTATTAAACTCTAACCTACTTTTTTTAATTTGTTCAGACCCAATTATGTAAGTTGGTAGCACAAGAAAAATAATAGCACTAGCTAATAGTATCATCCTCATTATTACTATTATTGTATAGTATTGTACTCTATTTATATTATCTAATTCATTCCAATCAATTATATATATATATATATATATATATGTATATGTATATGTATATGTATATGTATATGTATATGTATATGTAACCTCTCCAGACAATATTATAACATGGTACTTTTATTAATTAATACTATTATCTAATTCATTCCAATCAATTATATATATGTATATGTATATGTAACCTCTCCAGACAATATTATAACATGGTACTTTTATTAATTAATACTACTTTCATATCAAATTATAAGACAATTTTAAAGGTGATTTGGTGCTCCAAAATATAAGATAATTTGATAAAAATAAAGTTTTATTGATTAAATGTACATTTTTATTATTACCCTTCCCTCTCCCTTATTATTCTCTTTCTCTTTTGTAAGATTATATTTAATGAAAGATATTTTTAAAAATTTATACTCTCTAAGTAAAAATAATAATAAAGCATTTTTAATGAAATTATGTTCTTTAATAAGTTAGTCAATTATTTTTAAATTAATACTATCTTTTTATATTTACTTTCATAGGATGTATCATCTTTTTTTTTTTGGTTAAAAGGCAAATATGTCTTGAATTTTTTTTTAGGAGCGTCTGGCATCCTAAACTTTTTTTAAACATTTTTGCTTCAAAAGTTTTTAAAAATAGAGTATTTTTGTCTCACTGTTAAAAATTGCAAACATTTACTGTTTAATTGAGGTTTAACCAATGATATTTTTGTATTTTTTTTCTCTCATTCCTTTTGTGTTTAGTTTTCGATTTCATTCTCTAGTAAATTTTTTAACTTTTTTCTTCCAATAAATGAAAATGAAGATCGAAGAATGCAAAAATGAAGGAAGTCAAAATCATAAAAAACTCTAATCAAACTTTAGTTAAGCAATTTTTAATGATGAGGCAAAAATGCTCCATTTTTTAAACTTTTTAGAGCAAAAATGATTCAAGAAAAGTTTATGATGTCAGGTATTCTTAGAGAAAAAGTTGTAGGATATTTTTACCATTTAACCTCTTTTTTGTTGTTGTTAGAAGTAACAATTTTGTCAATAGAAATCACAATTAAATCAAAACAAGACTCAAAGGATCCCAGACAAAAGGGGAAAAGATCAAATGACCCAAAAAATTAGTGGCAGCTCCATGCAAATAAAGAGGCAAACTCTGATGAAATAGGCAATCCTTTGAGATCTAACACCCATTGAAACATTCATGGAAACGGGTAAATGAATACAAGGGGTGATAGTCTGAAGACTTGCTTAAATTTATGAGCCCACACAGCAGGATGTCTAGCATAAATTTAAATGGTTGAGTGATTTATTAAGTGTATCTTTTAAATAAAATATTCATTAATTACATACTGAAAAATTAAGATGTTTTATATTTTTGAACATTTGACTTTAAAAAAATGTGTTATATTTTTTAATGAAAGGAGTATTTTTGTTTTGAAAAAAGAAAGATAAGATTGTCAAGTATACTTAATAAACTTTATTAATATGTATAATTTTATCAAAATTTGTCTTATAAATTGACATGAAAGGAGTATTGTTTTTAACATCCACCAACAAAGGTTAGATGGTGGATCTAGTGAAATGGACATGTCTTGCATCACATAAAGAATCATTATTCAAATTTTTACTGGAATAGATGTTTACAATTACTCTCTTTGATTGATAATGTAGGACATCTTTTAAAAATTTTGCTTCGTAAAAAATACAAAGCATTGGATAACTTTTATAATTATTATCTAACTATAAATTTTAATTGATGCATATAAATTTTAATTGTCATTATCAAGGTACTTATATAGGATGTTGAAAACTATGAATTAGTTACTAATACCCTATATTTTAGTCTGAAAAGATTAGCACCTAATTCCATACCTTGAACAAGGAATAATAGTATTTGATATCATATTTTTACACACACACACACACACACACAAACACACAACTTAATAATAATAATAATAATAATCAAGGTTGTCAAATTTATGAATTTAAATAAACTTGTAATAGAAATATAAACTTGGATTATAAACTTGTAAGAGTTTATCTTTATTAATAAATATTCATTAAAAATATATAATTAAATAATTTAACTATAAAATATAATCATAATTTAATTTAAATATATTTTTATTGATTATCATACCAAATATAAAAATGTCAAAATAGGATAATTTAGGTCCTGGTTGTTTTCTTTTTTTTTAAATTGTTTCTTGTTTTTGAAAACATAAAAATTTAAAATTTTGTTTGGATAAATGTTTTTCATTTAGTTGTTTCGAAAACTATTTTCATGTTTTGTTTTTAAAAACAAAAAATTGAAACAATTTTAAGTTGTTTTCATTTTATTTTTCTTTTTTTTAAGATATAGTTCATTTGATTATTGAAAATTATAATTATCTTGTCCAATTCATATTATTAATCACCACCATTAGCTCCCTATAACCATCACTATTGGTCCATTTTTCAATTGAGACAACCAAATAAATTTTATTTTGTTGTGCTTCAATAACAATTTTGAAAATTGTATTACAACATAATTT